AGGGCTGAGTCGTCCGCGAACAGGAACAAGTTGCAGTCACATGCTGATGACATGTCATTTACATAAATTAGGAACAGTAACGGACCTAATATGCTTCCTTGTGGAACACCACAGCTCACTGGGAGGGGGGGGGACAGAGTACCGTTTACCTCCACCATCTGTTCTCTCCCCTCCAGGTAGGATTGCATCCAGCTCACCGATAGTTTATCAAAACCAATTGCTTTTAGCTTGTCAATCAGAATGGGGTGATTGACAGTGTCGAAAGCCTTTTGTAGGTCCAGCATCACCATGCCGCAGTACTTGCCCTCGTCCACCTCTTGTTTGATGTGGTCGCTCAAATAAAGAAGGCATGTGTCAGTGGAGTGGGATGTTCTAAAGCCAGATTGAAATTCATAGATTAGTTTCTTTTCCGCGAGGTACTTTTCGACCTGTTCATATACTATTTTTTCCATGACTTTCGAGATGGAGGTAAGTATAGAGACAGGGCGGTAGTTGCCTGGGTCCAATTTGCTGCCCTTTTTGTGCAGGGGGGTTACTCTTGCAATTTTGAAGTCTTTGGGTACTTTTCCCTGTTTTATGGAGAGGTTAATTATGTGAGCTATGACTGGTGAGATGGCGGTTGCTGTGTCTCTGAGGAATTTGGAGGGGATATTGTCGTGGCCAGTGGCCTTGTTAGGTTGGAGGGCGCTCAGTTTAATGAGTACCTCTGCTGTTGTTACCCTTGCTAGACTGAAATCATCTTTGCGTACCCCTAGGTTTTTGTAGTAGGTCATGATGTGATCTACTCCAAAAAGCCCTGAGTGGGAGGGTAATTTATTTACAAGAGTTGTGGCTATGTTTGTGAAAAAAATGTTCAAGTACTTGGCCACATCCAGTTTGTCTGTGATGAGCCTGTTATCTGTCTTTATGTTTAAGTTAGAAAATCTCGTTTTGAGTTTTTTACTGCAGCCAAGCTGGTTATTGAGTAATTTCCAAAGTTCACAGGGTTTATTTTTGTTTTCCTCAGTTTTGACATTGATGAAATTCTTTTTGGCAGTTTTGATCATGGAGCTTACGTCATTTCTTGTCTGTTTCTTTCAATTTTGAGTTCAGTCACGTGGGCCTGGAGTTCACTGCTCGTGCTTTTGGAAAGCATTGACTGACTTTTATGAAACTCAGAGCATTTTTTGTCTCTGGTTTTCATGGCGGTCAGTATGCCGGAGTGCATCCACGGCTCAGCGCGATTTTTTACCCTGGTTGTTCTTAGGGGGGCCAAATCATTGAGTATTGCAGAGAATTTGTTTTTGAAACCAAGCCATGTTTCTTCAACTTGTGTACCACTGAGCTCATCTGACCAGTCCAGGCTCTCCAGTTCTAGGTTAAAGGCCTCGCTAGAGTAGTTTTTGAGGTCTCTAGATATGACTGTTTTGTGACAGCCGGCCCTTTGTTTTAGCTTTTGCGGGTACAGAATATCATATAATGATCACTTAAACCGCATGCTATAACCCCTTTACTGGAGATCCTGGACTTGTCAGAGGTCAGAATGAGATCAATGGTAGTTTGTGTTGTTTCACATACCCGGGTGGGTTGGGTGATTAGCTGGCTGAAGCCGTGCAGATCACAAATCCTACTGAAGGACTTGAAGACGGACGTGTCTTTACGTTGCATATCCGTGTTCCAGTCTCCAATAATAATTGTCTCTACATCCCCCACATCAGCCAAACACCCATCTAATGTATCATAAAAGTCACTCTGTTCCGGTGGTCTATAGATTGTCCCGACTATTACAGATTTAGCATTGTCAAAAATAATTTCAACCCACACAGATTCAATATTTTCATGATGCAGGTCAGTACGGTTTTTGAAATTGGTGTCTTTATGTATGTACATGCAGACACCACCTCCATTCACGTTCCTGTCCCTTCTCACTACAAGATAATCTTCAATTTCAATCTCTGAATCTGTGTGAGTGTGGGTTTTCCGCATTGACTTTGATCAAAGCAAGTGCCGGTCAAGGCTGCAGCCAGAGGATGATCTGCGTTTATTCCTGTGTGCATCTAAGACACAGACTCATTGTTCCCACTAAAGTAGGGGTGTGTCATAAGGAGGCAAAGTTGACGTTCAGTGTGTTGCCGGGAGCATATAAGGATGTATCCACGATGTTGAAAATGTTAAAAGTGTTTAAAAGATATGTGTTGAGAACACGGCGTGCGAGAATATACGGGTCGTGCTGCAGCTAGATTTGCCTGTCCTTTGTAAGAAGGAGTCGGTGACTGACATGCTAGGAAGAACGGCTGTCCACAGGCTGTTCCAACTTTAACAACTTTATTAACTTCCAGGATAGTGAATTGAACATGCAATTGTAATTGGGTGTGTGGTATATTTTCATGCACGGACACGCATGTTCCACAACACACAAACTGAACATCACTCATTTGTCTGACCACTACCAGTGTTCTTGCGATCTTGTTATAACAACAAGTGCACGTTACTGATGCAATATGGTTGAGACCATTCGGGCTTATTCTAGAGGGGTGCAAGGAATAGTTCAAGTAGTGGGGGAGTTTTATACAATATGTTTAAAACATAAAGATAAAAAGTTTTTAGAAAGTTATTGTTTAATGTTTTAAGAAGGTGACGCTACTCAGCCAATCAAATTGGTGCAGTCAGCACGATAGATTCAAACACACACACAGAGACGAGACAAGAGGAGAGAAACAGTCGGAGTCATTTCAAATGGCGGAAGGTAGACAGCAAAAACAGAGCATTTAATGACATTTTCTCTTACTGGACCTCTTTGAAATGCATTATGAATACCCCTGCATTATAGCAACAACAACAACAATAATAATAATAATAATAATAATAGCAATAATAATTGGGAGGGGGGGAGCGGCTGTTCTTATGTTCTCTGAGGGGAGGCTCACCCAGAGTCCTGCACGGGTCTGATTTTCAAGACCCGCTCCCGCCCCGCACCCGCGACGTGCAATACCAAACCGCCCCGCTACCCGCACATATTGCCAATTAGTTCCGCAACCCGACCCGACCCGTCGGCAAAAGATCCACAACCCGACCCGAACCCGCCTATATATATGAGCAGTGAAAACTTGCAATTATTAATATAGGCTACGCAGTTGTACAGTAGTGTACAATACATGTACATAGTGCTGCGTACCTGGACTCACATTCAGGTTCAGGTCCGGACTCAAGTCCAGAGGTTCAGGTTCAGGTCCGGACCTGAACCCATGGCTTGTGTCAAGTTGTGTGAGTAACTAAAGTGAACTTTTTGTGAGCTAATTATCAATTGAAAATAAACTCATAATCAACTAAAATTCAAACTCGTCAGGTTTATTGTGCTCCCTTCTAACATGTGTCTACATTTCTCCAGTGCTTCTCAAAGTGTGGTCCGCGGACCACTGGTGGTCCGTGAGCGCCCCCTAGTGGTCCGCGAGTATATTGGTAACGTTTCACATTTGAAATAAATAAATACATTTAAGTTTTCCGCACTCTCGCGGGAATATCTCCGCAATGGAGCGAGCTAAAGTTACCTTTTGATGGTATGATATAGCCCAACACAACACCTTCATCACACTTGCCGCCACTTGTTTGTACCATTTTCAGGCGATTTGTAATCTGTTCTAGAAAAACGATGATATTTTGGATATTTGTGGAGTTAGGTGGTCCGTGAGTGTTTTTTTATTGGTTAAGTGGTCCTTGGTATGAAAAAGGTTGAGAAACACTGCTCTACAAAGTACAAATGTAAAAAAAACACTTTTTGCCACTTAGTCTACAAATGACTTATGACAGCAACTACAGTGAACTACTACAAAGTTCACTGAATACCACACTGATTCACTGTTGAGAAGCTGTTGGTCCTTTTTTAGTGGGTGAAGGTAGAAGGCTTTGGCGTCAGATGGGCACAGCGAAACATCGTTTTTGAAGCTGGCAACGGGGCAATTTTGGTTTCAGGCTCGGCAGGACATAAAACATCTGTCATTCTCTTTATTCGTATCTTTTGGATGTTTATGATTCTTGGTGTCGGCGTTGTGGGCAAGAGATATGTTTTCGCATCCGTGATCATCATGTTTCAAATATAAAGAGCTTTGAATCAAATGTCGATTTCCTTCTCTGCCTCGTCTGGCAAGATGCAGCTGGACATCCATCCACACCAGTCCGCCGGCTGTGTCCACAGACAGCGCCTGTGAAGCCCTGATTAGCCGCAAATCCGCAGCTGACATAGGCGGGTGGTGCTGGCTGACGTCTTTCCCGTTTTTGCGGAGCTTTTTTACAACCGATGTGAAAACATCGTTGCTTGCTTTAAAAGTAGTTTATTTGGTCAAACCCTGGAAAGTGTCTTGATATCCCTGCCCTAATGCTGAAGGAACTGCACACTGAATAGGTTTCGCCGTTTGAGGTCTGGACCGTTGCGTAAAAGGACCGCACTGCATGTTGAGGGTTTCTGCTCCATAGCTGTCAAACTCTGTTGGTTGGTTTTTTTCAATCAGCCACTCTTTAAATAGTTTCACAGCCCATAATGTGTTCCGTTTTCTATTCAATTCATGCCGGTCCTCTTACATTTGGTCGATTTCTCTGTCATTCAAATCTCTGTGTCTTTTCGCTGTTTTCTTGTCCCGCTTGTCTTTTTCTTTTCTTCACTGGGGACTCATCAGCCACAAACCATTCCTCCAAATTACTGTGCTCTCCAAATATATTCAAAGTAATGTTAGAATCCTCCATGTTGCTCTCACACGACAGCGGAAAACTAAAGACAAGCAGACAGTTTGCTTTGCTTTTCAAACTGTTACATTTGAAAAACAGTTAAATCGACCAAACTTCTTTGTGCAGATGTGAGCGTCCTTAACAACGGTCGATAAATCCTTGACAGCGGTCTGTCTGTTCTGGATTAACAACGTGTCACGTGTTCTGAATTGACCAATCAGAATCGAGTATTCAACTAAGCCATGTAATGACACAAAATAAAAACTTCTCTTTGTTTTTATGATTGTTTTTCTTTCTTCTAGAGGTCTTGTGATTGGCCGTCCATGGAACATAAGCTGTCTGAGGACTGAAAGATGCTGCGCATAGGCATGCACAGGATGGACGGTCACTCAGATATGTTGAGTTTTCCATCATACTATGACTTTATATGTTGTACAACTTGTATATGATATTCTACATCTGCCTCCTGCTGATTGCATGTGTGCGTCTGTGTATTTAAACAAGCTCTATGCTGCCCTTAGATTTTATGTGTTATATACTGTAGGTTTTAATGTATGTTTCTCTCCCACACAAACGCTTATCACAATGATTTGATAAGCATGGAATGTATCAAAACAACAACAAAATAAACAACAGTCAAATATGGGGCACAGATGGGAAAAGAGGAGTAGTCATTATTAGTGTGTGGGAGGTTGTTTTTATATTCACACAAGGAACATAACATTTAATGAATTACATTGATTTATGAATTGAACAATATACTCAGTAAAATGCATGCCTCCTGGCACGTGGACCTATGTTGGACACAAAGCTTCCTTCTAAGACATATAAGACAACTCATCAAAATGCACGTACAATATCTCAGAGACAGATTGCCAAAAAAGTTCTTCTGCAAATTTACATTTTACTTTTAGGTAATAAATCTGTCTCCCATGGCCTGTCCTGTAGCACTAGCCTGTTGTTTGTTATGCACAACACTCATATTGTCTAGTTTAATAAACATTGTAGCCTCTAGCAGGACTTAACACCTTCACTGTTGTAATGACAACAAATGTGCTAAGGGAATGCATTTATATAATAAAAAAAATTGACAACAGAGACGCTTTAGAAAGGACATTTTTCTGCATTTAATTTGTGGATTCAGGGAGACAAGAGACCTTGCTGTCAGGGATAACAAGGACAGTCTCTGTGATGTGTGAATAATGGCCGGACAGAGGTTTAGACATCATTAGAATAATCAGTCCTGATGTGGTCTGAGATGCAGGGCGACCCAGCGGGGGGGGGGGGGGGGGGGCTGATGCTTCGCTGTGTGCTAATTAAGATGCTGCTGCACTCTTATCTCTTTGACCGTCTGACGTGATCCCACCTCTGCCGGGGAGTTTTGTTCATAAATGATATGCTAATTGAGTCCTTCTAATCTAGATTATATTTCATTCATATTTTGATGTGTGTTAATTAGACTTGCATGTTTCCTGTACGGCTCTGACTTGCTTGGGCAACTTCAATACAAAAAAAACGAAATGTTTTTTTTAGTTTTGGTTTCTTTATGTATCTGATGCAAAGCGGTCGAGCTTTGGGGAACAGTTTAGCTGCAGCTCATTGCTTCTGCAGAGCTTGTGGTTTTATCGTATTCCACTTGCTGTCTGCCGGATTGGGAACCTCATTGATCATATCAGATTGGTTAAGTAATTGATTGTTACTGGTTATTAACCTCCCACAACTCTGGACCTGCTTGCCAGCCACTGAGAACAGCCTGTAATCAGTCACAAATGGCAGCCGCTAATGAAATTAGTTCCTGGTTCTGCCTCACAACTTTGTTTGTTCCACAAAGTATTGGCAAGGGCATAGAGATGCCATGGTTTCCATCCCCCGAGAATGAAGTGATAGAACAACAGAATGCAGATAATGAGCTGCTGTGTCTGTGTTGTCTCTTTGTAATTACTCATCTGTCTGACCGAAATATATAAAGATGAGGACATGGAAACTGTTTTCCACTGCTTGTCTAACGCCCAGTGTCACTGCAGGAGGCCTGGACAGTGTTGGAACTATTTGGAAATGTGTGCTTTAATGCAAAAATATCTTCTGTACTAGTTATTTGTCACACATATTTCAAAAGTTGGCAGATAAATCTTTGTGTCTTAATTCTTCATGCAATGTGTATGCTGTCCAAAGACAAATGAAGCCTGAGGGGGTGACACCAGTCACACACATTTAGTCATGCTAAAAGTTAGATGTTGAGACTGTGTTCATCATAAAATAACCCATAGCAAGAGTTTCATCTCTGAACCAGGTAATATTATTTACATTTCAATATGTCCAGTGCAGAGTTAAGAGTGACAGGTGCTAATTAGCCTAGCTTATAGCACACACACTGGAAGCAGGAGGAATTGTTTCCTATAGTTAGCCAGATAAGATGAATACAATAAAGTATCCCTATAATGTACGATTTACACATTTGTGATGGAAATGTGCAGTGTGGTTCACTTTAAACCAAAAGCTGACCTTTGTTAGTGCAGCTAATTGCCTCAAGCTTCTGCCTGTTCTGTGATTAAAGATGGAGCTAACCCCTCGATTCCACCGGGTCTGTCTGCGGCGTGTCACCGATGCGCCGCGGTTTTGGTCCGGCCTCCTCCTGCGCCATACCCTACCGGGCGCGTTTCAGAAGCATTTCAGAAGCGGAGCGTCTTGCCTGCCGGCTCGCAGTTTTTGTTGATTTGGGCATATTTCCTGGACAGGCTACTTTGTACAGACGAAGTTAATAATAATTGTAATATTCCAGTTATAAACAACATGAAGCAAAGATGTGTTGCTGTATTTTAGTGGTAAAAAAATGCATTCATCATCGTAATTATTCTATATATATAATTTACACAGTGCCTGTAAACCGGAGGAGAACGCTGGCATTTCTCCTCCTACTTGAAAGACTACGGAGGGATAGGGTCTGCAAAATGAGTTTATTTTGGGGATGGGCTGGATGCTCTGACCATTCCACTTCCCGCCCGGCGCCTCTGCAACGCTTCGCGTTGAAAAATAGACTTGAATCCTATTTTGAGCGGAGCCCAGCGCCGACACGCTTCTGGGAAGCTTCTGGGACGCTTCTGAGCCCTCTGGTGGAATAGCACCCATTGACTAGAGTGGCCGCGATCTTTGCGAACCCCCAAAACACACCAGGAGCGTCTGCGTCGCGTTACAGCCGCGCCGCGGCGGTCGTAAGGATCGCGGCCACTCTAGTCAATGGGTGCTATTACACCACACGCGCCGCGTTACGGCTCAGACGCGTCCCAGAAGCGGCTCGGCGCAGCGCTTCTCTAAAATTAGGATGAATCCTATTTTTGACGCGGCGCAGCCGTAAGGTAAAGTCGGGCAGGCAGCCCCCCCCTCGCAGGAAGTGGAAAGGTGAGCATCCGGGCCAGGCCCATCCCCCACATATACTAATTTAGCAGACCCATAACCGGCTCCTTCTCCTCCCCCCATCCCCCCGTAGTCTTTCAAGTAGGAGAATACATGCCAGCGTTCTCCTCCGGTTTACAGGCACTGTAAATGATATATATATATAGAATAATTATGATGATGAATGCATATTTTTTTACCACTAAAATACAGCAACACATCTTTGATTCATGTCGTTTATAACTGGAATATTACAATTATTATTAACTGTGTCTGTAGTCTACAACACAACAAAATAGGAAATAACAACAATAAACACGATTTAAACAGACACAAACATAAACCATTTAACTACGTATAGCCTACTTACTTGTAGAAGTACAAATGTCCAGGAAATATTCCAAAATCAACAACAACTGCGAGGCTGCACACACGACGCTCCGCCTCCGCAACGTTTTGAAACGCGTCTGGTGTGTGTTGTCGCAGGAGGAGGTCGCAGCGTGGCGCAGCCGCAACGTAACGCGGCGCAGACGCTCCTGGTGTGTTTTGGGGGTAATGCGGCCGTAACGCGACGCAGACAGACCCGGTGGAATCTAGGGGTTACGGCATGTCCACACAGCGGCGTGCGTTGACGCTTGCCGGCGGGCGTGTCTGACACTCGACCAACAACCAATTACATGAATCTCCCGCCCCTGACACACAAGCAGCGGTTTGATTGGCTAGAGCTTGTACTGGCATATGATTCGATTGGCTGACGCTTCTGCTGAGGCGTCAAAAGTTGAACATTGCTCAACTTTTGCAGCGAGCCACGCCAGCAACGCTCCGCGTCGCTTCCCACGATGCAGTTCGGCTAAAAGTGACGTCACCCCATTCAAAGTGAATGGGCAGAAGCGTTGGAAGCTTCAACGCACGCCGCTGTGTGGACGGGCCGTTAGGCTGCTAAAATTAAATCAGCACTGTGTAGGGTTGGGAACCGAAACTCGGTTCCAGATGAGAACCGATAAGAAAATGCCGGGTACCCGTACAAAATACACAATTTCGGTTCTGCTTAACGGTTCCTAAACGCGGTAGACCCTGTATTCCACCGGGTCCGTCTGCGCCGCGGCGCCCCTGTGGAATACAGGGTAAGGGAGGACTGGCCATCTGTGTGTTCTGGAGAATCACAGAACGGCAGGTCGTCAGCGGGCCGTTGGCGGCCGGCTCGGTTCGCTGATGGCCGGCACCGCCCTTCATTTTTTTAAACGGCATCATGTAAGTTGCGCTGACAGGCGACAGAGGTCCACAGTTGCCCCGCAGCGAGGCTCCCCCGCCCTCCCGTAGACAGTTCACGAGCCCAGTCACTTCATAACACCAAAGATGGGTCGCGGTAAACGCTCTGAAGTGAGGCACCACTACACTAAAAAAGAAAAAGACAAGGCACAGTGTAATGCCTGCTAATAGCTTCCCACAGGCATAGGAGCTCAGTTAAAATAAAGCACAGCTATTGTGCAATACATTTGTATTGCATGTATATTTTTTATTTGTAAAAATGTTAGTTAAAGCTTAAAAAAATAAAGATATTTTTGTTATCTAAACGTTTGACCTCTTTCTTTTACAATTTTGGAATCGAAACGGGGAATCGATAAGCAGAACCGGAATCGGAATCGATACATTTCAAACGATACCCATCCCTAGCACTGTGTGCCAAAAACTCCCTAGAAAGACTGTGAGCATTGTACACTTTCTGCAATATAACAGACATGTTGTTAACGTTTCTGACAGAAAATATGTTTCATATCAGCCTTTAATTATACATGCAGAAACATATGCCATATGCTTAACATTTTGAAAAGGTTAGCTTTAGGTAACGACATTATTGGTTATGTTCATTCAAAAACTGTTACATAATATGTAACTTCATGTGACTCAATGACATATTCAGATGACAAAGCCAAAGGGCAAGCGTTTTACCTTAAACAAAATGTAGTTTTTGGTTTTACAAGCAACAACAGCAGTATGTAAGTCCTG